AAATGAAATTAACTTATACCATGCTTTTAGAAATTTCAGTTTTCTAACAAAGAAATGATCAAATTACAAGCCTGCCATTGAGGAAATATTCTTTGAAATACATTCACTAATGAACAAATGCTGAAATTCTCCTGAACATATTTTACATACAAACTGAATATAAGAAGTAACTGAGCTCTATCTCTTCAACTGAAAATAATTTTTCCTTAGTAGAGAACAATCTATGTACACACATTTTTTCCCTTATTTTAGTAAAGGGTTTCATTTATAATTATTTAATTGTATTTTCATGTAAATTTGCTTAATTTTTTTGTTGTAATTTTTGGTTCAATCACTACTACTGAGTTTCTAACATAGAGAAGTGGAAAGAAGAATCATTTCCTTAAAAATAATGAGGTAACCTACATCTATGGATTCAGTAGCTCAAAAGAGGGAACAAACTCTTACAGCAAGAATCATTCCCACCCCCTCCACACACAGAGTAGACAGGGATAGGCAACTTGGACATTGGCTACCCAAAATGGGGGGGGTGGGGGGGGAAGGTGGCCTACAAAGTCAAGAAGTGACTGGCTAACAAGCTTTCAAGAGGGAACCTAGAGCCAGGGGGCCTGGAGGAAGGCAGAATCTCCACTGAGTAGTATCCAATCTGTCTAGGTGGACCTGATGAAATGAAATGCAGATGGGTCTCTTGTGATACAATAGTGAATAATTGTTATCAGGACTTTGTGAGGGTTGGAAATGTAATGGTAGATGTTTTATAGCAAAGAAGGGAGTGATTAACTTTCCAGTCTAGGAGCAGAGAGCGGGACCCAACCCAGAGAAGCAGTGATGCCTGAGATTGAGGCAGAGATGATGATATGGAGCAATGGAGCAGCTGGGGACTTTAGATCCAGAGAGGGAGAGCGACTATGTGCTGAAGACTGGTGGGGGAGGTAGTGGAGGGGGCAGGCTTGCAGGGTATACCCTTTGGTTGGTTGATGATGCATGAAGGGGTTTGTAACCATGGCAATGAAAAGATATACGATAGAAAAAAACATGTGTGTGTGTGTGTGTGTGTATTCTATTTTTAAAGGTCGAAAGTCAGCTTTTCAAAGATTTCTACACATCCATTTCAGTAGTATAATACTTACAAATGATGTGGTCTGTGTTCTTCTAAGTTAAAGTGCAATATGCCTTGCTTGTTATAGGGTAGAAGATACAAACAGCTTTCAGGAAAATGAAAAAAATCTGCAGAGTTCATAATCAATATAAAGATTTTTGATTATTTGGCTTACCTTGCCCAGTAATTCTCCCAATGTGACATCTTCATGATTGAGAATCCATTTCTTATCCTACAGAAAAGAAAACAAATCATTTGTGTAGCACAGACAAGACTACATTTCCTGTATAACATGCATTTTAAGCAGTTGGGGAAAAACCTAAGGAGATGTTTCATTCAGAACATTCAATCAACAGCACACTAAGAATCTATAACCTCAAAATGTGATAAATGTTACTATACAAAGTGACACTGAAATGTACATTACAAGTAACTTTTATCTGGGATCCCAGCCTTCAGAATAAACTATGATCCTTGTAAGTAGAACACAGAATACACATTCCTCTACTATAAAGGTGAGGCTATCTTATTACTTGCCATTTCACAAAAAGTTATGTCATAAGTATATAAGGGAATTTTATTTTACAAAGTAAACAACTCTAATTTTCACTTGATCTTAGAGTATTATTTTCAGCACAAATCACATTATTGGGAGCTGATTTTTTTCACATATTAACTGGCCATGAGTTATAGCTGTCTGGGACACTGCATGTAGTCCCATATTTTTGCCAAGTAATTTCCTGTTGTAAAGTAAAACAACAAACATCAATTACATTATCACCAGGGTACTGAAGACCATTGATTCAAACATGCCATTATAAAAGAGCATCCCATTATCTGATCTCAAGAAGTGATTACTACTTAGGGAATATTTTATCATCCAAAAATTTAGGTTATTAACCACCCAATACTATATTGTTAGGAAGGCATAAATATGTAATTTTAGAAAAAGGAAACATTGTTATTCAATGAGGGAGAGATGGAAGAAGAGAGAACAGAAAAAGAGTGGAAGGTGAAGAGGTAGAAGAGAGAGGAAAGAGAATAAAATACTAGAGTGATATATTTATGATTTATTAGACTTTTGTAGTTTCCGTCAAGACAAACACAGACTGAGTTGTTAATATGTTTTATAGTATAAATTTTAGCAAGTAATCAAATTTCCTGAAGTAAAAATATACCTTAACTCTTATTGGCTGAAATGTATTCTTGAAATGTATTCTCCAAAAAGATAGTTAAAGTACTAATTCCTTCACTGGTGAATGTGTCATTGTTTGGGATAATAGGACACTTTTTTAAACAGTTAAATTAATTGAGAGCACACTAGAGTAGAGTGAGTCTGAATTTTAATCCCTTCTGAGTAGTGTCACATTACAAGGAAGTCACAGGGGGAGGACACCATGTGATAATCCTTTTATAAGCCATGGATTTTATTTTTAAGACAGAGAGCATCTCTAAGAACTGAATACATTAAAACAACAACAAAAATAAAACTTTATAGTTCTGTAATTCTTCAATTAATCAGAATATTTATAAAACTTGGCTGGAACATATTTAAGCCCAACTACAATAGAGGCACTATATGATAAATACTGGTCTTTTACTCATAAGGTTGGCGGTTCAAACCCACCAGTCACTCCTTGGGTTGCTATGAGTCAGAAGTGACAAGATGGTACTTAACACCACCACCAAAGCAGAGGGAGAGCTCTTTCAGTAAAGTGGTCAAATGCTCAACTGCTAACCGACATGGTGGTTCAAACACACTAGCTGCTCCGGGGGGACAGATGTGTCAGGCTATTTTCATAAAGATTTAGCCCTTCGAAACCTTGTGAGAACTTCTACTCTGTCCTGTAGGATCTCTATGAGTCTGAGTTGACTTGATGACAACAGGCTTAGTTTGGCTTGTGTTAAAGGTAAAGGCAAAAGAAAGTTCTTTTACTAGTCTGAAATCTAAACTTTTATAAAATACTGGCAGGAATATATTTTCAACATATTCCCACAGAAGCTTGCTCATTCTCAGAAGCATTGGCTGCAAGGGCATTCTTATTTCCATTTTGCAGGTGAGAAAACCAAGGCCTTGAGAGGATTTCCTTGTCCCTAGTCACAGTGGTACTAAGTGGGTTGGGATAAGAATCTCAATTTTGTTTCTGAGTTCAATGTTCCTACATATTATTTTGTCCTTTTTGTACTATAAAGAAACATTGCATTCAAAATAAAGCCAAATACAATCATTATCTGAGTCTAGAGTCTTGGTGTGGTGCTGTAGTATAAACATTGGGGTACTAACCACAAGTCCATCAGTTCAAACTCACCAGCCCCTCCTTAGAAACCATATATAAGGTCACTATGAGTCGGAAGTGACTCGACAGCCAAACTGTAGACCTACATTAAAGTGAAAAACTTCACAGTTCCAAACTCTTGTTTCATAGAGGCCTATGGCTATTGTATCTAAGATAAAATGTTTTCAAAAATGGATTTTCATTGAATTATAAAACTTGAAGGTCAGCCATGATGATGTGACTCATGGGTAAAGTAACTCAGGTTGGGAGATATGACAATTCTGCCCAAAGCACACCTTTTATAATCTTCAGTAACATACCTCCATCCAACCTTCACTTTGGCAATACGATTGATTCCAGCTTGCTTGCCCATCAAGTATCAACCTATTCTCTAATTACATTATATGTAGTTGGGCTGCTAACCCCAGGTCAGTGGTTCAAACTCACCAGTCATTCTAAAGGAGAAAGATGAGGCTATCTGCTCATAAAAAGATTAAAGCCTTAGAAACCCTACACAGAGTCCACATAAGTAATAAAGCCATGGGTGGCTTTAAGTACAATTTTAAAGTATGCTTTTCATGGCAACATTTCTCAATCAAGGCTTTGTTGTTAAATGGTGTCAAGTTGGATGCAACTCATAGTGACCCTATAGGCTTTCTAAGGTGCAGCTGGTGGGTTATGCCACTGACCTTGAGGTTAGTTAGCAGTCTAGTGCTTATCATACAGTGTCACATGAAGACTCCAGTCAAGGCTTTTGGATATGTTGAATTGTTTTTGTATTCTTTTCATAAAAATCTTGCAAATTTTTAAAGTCATACCAAGGACAAAGACAATCAAAGTTGAATGAGAAAAGACAATCAACTGATACCAGTACTGAAAGAAATCACATATCAGAATTATTTGCAAAATTTTAAAGTACAAAAATGCTTCAACAATCAATCATAAATTCTTTTTAAACTAATAAACAAATGGGTCATTTCAGGAATAGATACAGAAGTTATGTTTAAAAAGCACCACTGGACATTATCAAATTAAAATAAAAAATAGAAATAAAAAAACTGCCGAGCACTAATTCTTTATCCACTGAAATGATCTCTCAAGAGTGAAGGGTAAATAAAGACATCCACTGATGAAAAGAAACTAAAATGTGCCAAAAAAATAAAAAATAAAAAACCCTCATTGGATGGGCTAGATAATAAAGTAGAGATGACAGAAAATGGAATCACTGAATCATAGAAGTTACCCAATCTGGCTAACAATGAAAAGACATTGAAAGAACAAAGTGAAAACTGAACACAGCCTCTGAGACTTAACAGAAAAACAGCAAAAGACTCAACGTATTTATCACCAGAATCCCAGAAAGAGGAGAAAGAGAGTGGGGCTGAAAGACTATTAAGAAACAAAAAAGAAACTTCAAATTTGGTGAAAGGTACAAATCTCTAGACTTAAAAAAAAGCTGAGCAAATCCCATATAGGAAAAACCCAAAGAAATCCATGCCACATCTTAATTAAAAACAAAGAAAACACCCTGAAAGCAGCCAGAAAGAAATGACACATTTCCTATATCAAAATAACAATTCAATGACAGTAGGTTTCTCATCTGAAACCTTGGAGTTCTGAGGAAAGTTATATATTTTTCAAGTGTAAAAACGATATAACTGCTGAGCACTAATTCTTTATCCAGTGAAACTATCTTTCAAGAGTGAAGGGAAAATAAAGACATCCTCTGATGAAAAGAAACTAAAATGTGGCAAAAAAAACACACAAACAAACAAACTCTCAAATCTACACAGAAGTGCTAATATTTTCTTCCTTGACACCAATGCATTGTTCTGTGTATTCTAGGTATTTCAAAGGAGCAGGCTTTGTTGACAGTGAGGTTATTCTGCACAGGAGAACTTGATAAAAATGGTTTGCAGGACAATTACACCCTTTTAAGCTTCACAAGAAGCCCTGGTGTGGTGCTGTGGGTTTATGCAATGGACAGCAAAGTCATTTGAACTACAAGGTCAGTGGTTCAAGCTCACCAGCCGCTTCTTCGCAACTCTATACAGGGTCACTATGAGTTAGAACCGACTCAAAGGCACTTAACAACAACAACAAAGCTTCACAAAAGTCTATGTAAAGAAAGAATTCATACAATTGGTCTGTTTCATCAGTTACCACTTATCTCTGTAGTCATGGTGATGACTCTTGGTCCAACTCCAAGAACTAAACTATAAGAATTATACTAAAGTGGTAGGCCAAGGTGAACTAAGCTCTCAGCTTGTTTAAAGTAAATAAAAAAACTTCATTATATGTGCCTGGTTCCTGGGTTGGGGTCCTCACCACAGCTAGTTTTTTGGAATTTATGTGATCAACTTCCTTTGAGAACTTTGAACTTTATGAGTCAAGTGAGATTTCCTGGGCCAAGACAAATCACACATGGTCCTACAGTTTGTAGATGAAGAGCAAGACCTGTCTATGGGATAATAACAGAGGAAACACATGAACAGGTCTGTATTTGACCTGTTTAGTCTTTGTTGTTCCTGTTTTTCTTGCATTTTATCCTTTGCTGTAATAAATTTTTAGCTATATGTTAAATTAAATGATATGAGTCTTTCCAGTGAATCACTGAAACAGAGGCTGTACACCACTGAGACACTCTGTAAATGTCCTAAGAGATAGGTTACTCTGGCAGCAAATGGCAAAAATACCATTTGAGCACATGTCTTCCCAATTCTAAAGTCTGTACTCTTTATAATTATACTGCTTCCCAAAATACATGAATTTACACAGAACACTGCAAACGATTCTTTCTAATTCAGAGATTGACTATCATTTAATTATTACTTTTAATTAACTAAAATACAAAGCTCTGGTAGCGTAGTGGTTACGAATCAGGCTGCGAACCGCAAGGTCAGCAGTTCGAAACTACCTGCTGCTCCGTGGGAGAAAGATGAGGCTTTCTGCTCCC